CACACACACACACACACACACACACACACACACACACACACACAGTCTAGTACAGCTATCATTATGGGGACATTGCATTGACCCACCAATGGCATTCCAGGGACGAGGCTTAGGTCCCCATAAGTACCAGTTGGTCCCCACATTTATGCCAAAAATGGTCCCCATATAATAGGGAATACCCGCTCGCTTGTTATGACAGAATAAGTAACCTTTGTTAAAAACATGATAGCAATTACTGTATTTTCTTTATTTTATTGTATTTTATTAGTTTTTGAAAAATCGTAGTAAAAGTTTGTGAGAACTTAATACTTTATTTAAATAAATATTTAGATTAAAAATAATTTGACCTGGTCTTTATGAAGTTCTAAAAATAAAAAGATAAGTTGGAACATTTTTTTCCACAACCAAATGAAAGACTAATAACTTCAGACAGAAGACAATTAGTCAGAAATAATGTCCGCAATAAAAATATTATTAAGTTGTATTATTGTTTGTAGTAATTCTACAAACTGTTGTTTTTTATTTATATAAAATTCATATTAATCCTGAGGTGAACTTAGTTTATCTGTTGTGTATTTTTGTTCACTTGAGGTTAGATATGAATAATTTTAGAAGCTGATAAAGATCATATATTCTCTCTGGTTTATAAAATGCTAGAATTAAAAGAGGTGAACTTTTTTCACATGACTGTATGTCATTATAACACCAGGGTACTGTTTACTGTACCTGTATTATATATCAAAAACTTTACCTTCGACTGAAAATGTACAGGGTTATGGTTTACAGTGACCACATCAATAAAAATCTTTTAGATCAGACTGATACGGAAGTAAACTATAAGTTTAATTTGCACGTTTTTGTTCTTGTGATCAAACTGTTTCAGTAAATTTGACCATCAGAGAGGATAAAACGAACACCTTGCATGCTTAAAGTGTAAAAATCCTGCAGAGAAGAGATCCGCTTCAGTTTGTGACGGGAGCTGAGATGTGACTCAGATGTTTGTCTGCTTTATTAAGTGGCTGATTTTCAGAGACAGCAGTGACAAACTGAGTCGATCTGCCTCTGTGATCGCAGGTGGAGGAAAAACAGCGAGCATCTGTTGCCTTCACCAAGCTGTTGACTGCCATGAAAACACTGGGCTTCTCAGCTGGTGAGCAGAAGGCAATCTGGCACGTTCTGGCTGGTATTTACCACCTGGGAGCTGCAGGAGCCTGTAAAGGTAACACTGATTAATACTGCCCTCCACAGAAACACAGAGCTGTCTCTGCAGCTGTGAGGAATTGTGTTACAAGACCTATTCTTAAAGCTTTAAAACTTTAAAATAGCTGAAGTATTGTGGTTAAAGGGGGGGGGGGGGTGATGAGCTGTTTGATGTGACTGAGCTGTAAACTAAAGTTGGAGGGTGACACACTCAGTTCTGAGTTAAAAGGTCACAGTCTGTTTTAAAATATACAGTTAGTCAGATGTTTTAACAGATATGTACATCATTCACTTGAAGCGCTGAACAGTTTGAATTTTTTTTCCATCTTAGAATGACTGAATCAACAAGTGACTAAAGACCAGTGGTGGGCAGCGCTAACCCAAAAATTAGCTCCACAATTTCTAAAGTGCTTATGTAAATATTTAGGTCCACAATCTCAAAAGTGCTTACGGAAAAATTAGCGAAAGCTAATTTTAAAGCACAAGATCAATTTGACACTTACTAGCTGGCAATAATTCATGTACAATATATGCACAACACTGTCAACTAGCAGTGTGTGAACCCTTGTACAGCTTAATCCTACAACTGCCAATTGCTGGGGATGTGATTTCCTGAAACAGACCTTTGGCTTCTGGTGTAAAAATTAAAAAGTTGTTGAGGATTGCTAGTTCGGCTGATTCTTTAAAAAGTTATTGAGGATTGCTAGTTCGGCTGCTTCTTTGTCTTTTTCTTTTGTTTATTGTAAATTTTTCATTAAAGAAGCATCAATAAAGTAATTTTAAAAATATTTATTGGAAAACTGAAGCAATGCATTCTGGGTACATGACGGATTTGTTTTGTGACGGGAAATGAAAGTTTTCCATGTAGTTGCTCCAGTTGACCACTAGATGTCTGTCTAACCCTGTTGGCGGATTGCTTCGACTAATTATGTCAAGTATTGAGCTCTAGCATTTAAACTATTTTTTTAAAAAGGAGCTCCGATTGTAAAGTAAAATAAATCAATACATGCAAAATTTTAGTATGGATTACAAACGTTTAATGTTTTTGCTGGGAAAGGGAGCTCTAAACATTGCCTTCCTGCTACGTGAGCAGACACAAAGCATTGTGGGAAATGAGAACCCTGACCTAAAGCAACTGTGTCAGCAAGGATGTAGACCTTCTCAATAAGTGTGTTTTATCTGGGAGGGGTGCTGTTGGATAGATCACGTGTGTTGAGATTCATTGACAGCCATACCTTCCGCTGTTCAAGATAATGATGACTGGTAGATAATTAGTTATTAGCAGTACTGCATTTTAATTTTAGAAAGAGCGAATCTGCTTATGAATTATAAAAATTAGTAGGGTCGCTAAAGCGCCAACGAAATATTTAGGTCCGCCATTAGTGGATTTGCGCTTTAGCAGACTGGTGCCCACTACTACCAATGATTTACTAACTTGTTGTCTGGACTGTGTCCTGTCCTCTCCTCTGCTCAGTGGGCAGGAGGCAGTTTGTGAACTTCGACAGCGCTCAGGTGGCGAGCAGCGTTCTCGGATGTGAGGGAGAGGAGCTGCACACTGCAGTCTTCAAACATCACCTGCAACAACTGCTGCAGAGTGCCACCACAGGCAAGAGGGACAAAAATGAGGCTGAGGAAGGTGAGAGTCACACAGAAGAGTTTCGTTTATTTTCTCTTCCACTTTTTTTAATTGGCTAAATATAGTTCACCAAAAAAGTCCCAGTTTTTAGAGACTAAATCACATCAACCTTTCTCCTTATCTGAGCCGTGTTGCCAGACGGAGTGGGTTTTTGCCCAATTGGGCTGCTTTTCGTCACATTTGGTGGATTTTTCGAAAGTATTCACATAAAAATTAAATCAAAATATCAAGTTTTTTGCTATTTATAGAGGATCTGACATGATTAGAAATAAATGCAGAAACAAATAAATATGTAAACGGACCAATAAATAAATGAAAACACTTAAAATGCACCAATTAAATTAAAAAAGGAGAAATTTATCTCATGTTTTGTGATTTAAATTGACCTTCAAATTTATTTTACAGCTTAGTTCTAATAAATTATATATTTTAGCACATAGTTTAAATGTTACTGTTCTTTAAAAATATAAGTAGTTTTTATTTTTACTTGTACATCTGTGTCTCTTAAATTATTATATTAATTTTGTAAATAATTTTTCTCATAACTCCTTTTATTTCCATGTGTTGCTTTTACATTTCTCTGTCTCCTGTATTTAATTTACATTATCCATTTCTGCCTCATTATGTAAATAAGGTTGGTGGGCCATCATGGGTCAGCTCCTCTCCTATTGGTCAACAGGAAGACAGGAAGGAGCAGGACCCATGTGCAGATTGACTGTGCGCTGCCTGAGTTTAGCGTAAAGTTTATCCAAAAACAAAGGCAAGAAGGAAAACACTTACCTGTGCCTTTTTTTAAACTAAACTTTAAACTTTAAGCTAAACCGAGGCAGTAATATGAAAAGTTTAGAGATTTATTAGATATAAAAACATGATGAATTTCATTGGATTATGACATCCAGACCTTTGCTGAGTAAAAACCCTGAGTGGGAAACAGAACTGTGTAGTTCTAAAGGGTTCTGCACAGCTGGTAGATGTAGTTTTCACACATTTTAATGTGTTAGTGTGGTGCTGCCATGTACACCTTCAATTCTGAGAAAGCTGGAATGTTGTATAAAATGTAAATAAAAGCAGAATGCAATGATTTGCAAATCTTATAAGCCCATATTTTATTCACAAAATATTTGCTGTAGTTTCTCAGTCATCCAGGACATGGCAAATCCAAATAAAAAAAATAAAACAACAGGTTTTAAGTTAATTTTTTAACATATTTTTGGGTATATCACATGCATAAACTATGAAATTCTACTATATTTTGAAGAAAGAGTTTTTGAATTATTTAGAAACACATGTTAACGGTTGAGCTAAGGGCAAAAAACCCTTTGCAGCTGTGATGAATTCAACACGTCAGTGAGGACTGAGTGTAAAAAGTGTTTTAGAGCAAGGGTTCTTAACTTTTTTGACCTCGGGGCCCAATTTGTTGAACACAAAGTGGCACGAGGCCCAGTCAGACATTACCAATATAGCCTTTTTAAACTTTTGCAACCAGAAGCTGCTCTTCATATTAGTGACAAACAATAACAGTAACAACAGCTTATTGACAAGTTTAAAATTTCTTTAAAATACATTCAAAATGTTTAAAAACAAACTACAAAAAATTAATTTATAGTGCAAATTAAAATATATCTCTATCTGCAACTGTATTTGATAWTGTTTTGAACTTTTAAAATATTGCATGGTAAAAAAGAAGCTGCTCTTCATATTAGTGACAAACTTTGGTGTTTTTTGATGAGTTACTTTCGTTTTTGCCTTTTACTTTTCATTTAAAATAAGTTTCCATTCTCAGCAGGTTTCCAAGGTTCTTCTTCTACATATTAAAAAAGTTGTTAAACATCTGAGTGGTGCACTACTGCTACTAGTGGTGAGAAAGTGTATTGCACTTTATTCAAAATCAATGCGGTCCCACGGCCCTCTGCAGCCCAAAGTTAAAAACTGTTGTTCTTTTGAGGCCCTCACGGTGGCCGCGGCCCGTCTCTCTGAAGTAAAGATGGGCAGAGGTTCACCAGTCTGTGAGAAACTGATTGAAATAGTGGGACAATTTCAAATTAATGTTCCTCAACAAAAAGTGTGAAAGTATTTAAATCTCCCACCCATCATCTACATTTCATAATCCAATCAAAAGAACATGAAGAATCTGAGCTCTGAACTGACCTGCCTGCAGTCCAGACCTCTCACCAACTGAAAACATTTAGTGCATCATGAAACCAAACATCAGGCAAAGCAGTCAGAACTTCTGTTCCTCCTGTGCAGGTCCTCGTTTAACAGCTGCTCAGTGTGTCCACGGAATGGCTGCTGGACTGTATGAAGAGGTCTTCACTGCTGTGGTCTCACTCATCAACAGGTATGGACACATATATTCACACAGACCTGTGTCCTCTACGTGGCGTCACTGTAAGGTGACGATCACCACTGCAGTGAGAGAGGACAGGATTTGATTGATTTGATTTGATTTATTGATTCAACAGGAAAAGATTACTAAAAATCAAGCCCGACTCAGCAGAATTGCTGTTTTACAGCAGGTTCCTGTTCTGCAGTACATAAAACACTCAGAGAATTACAGCATCACAATCACATCATTATACACCATAGACACAAAGACAAACAAGCATACCCAATTTCAAAAAGGCAGCATTTGCAAAATAGGACGTCTATTTATGAGCACAACAAAAAAGTGTCCAGCAGATACAAGATTCTTCTTAAAGGGCTGTAGTTTTGAAATGGACTTTATGTTTTGAGGAATGTCATTCCATGCTTTAGTATAAACATAGAAGAAAGACCTCTGGCCGTAACAGTTTTTAAAAGTTGGTAATATCATTTGTCCTTTTGTAACAGATCTAGTTGAATGACCACTTCCAGAATTTGATTTGGGCAGCAATGCACAGAGAGTTCCATAATTGGCACCTTGGAAGATCTGAAAATATAAATTAATACCACTATACAAAACATAAGGAGCTTGTCAGAAACCGCCTGTGTTCTGTGGTCAGGGCTTTGAGCAGCGAGCAGCTGGTTTTAGCCTCTGTGATGATGGTGGACACGCCAGGCCTCAGGAATCCAAGACACTCAGGGGAGGAGCGAGGAGCCGACTGGTCCGAGCTCTGCCACAACTACCTGCAGGAGCGGCTGCTGGAGCACTACCACTCACACACCTTTACACACTCGCTGGAGAGATATGGACAGGTAGGTCTACACATGAAGAGCAAAAGAAAACTAAACACTATGTAAGGATCAGACGATTCTGTGTTTAATACAGTTTGTGACAAAAAGTAGAAACATGCAGAATGTGTCATTTTTAAATTCAGAGCCCCTGGCATTAAGACTTCCACATATTGTGCATATCTTTCTTCCTTTTTTGAATCAAAATAAATGACAGACTTTGACAGGGAGGTTAACGACCGTATAGTAAACCTAATGAAAAACATATATTGAATAATAAAATGAAAACATTATGACTTAACAGACTTAAATGTGTTTTCTGGTGCAGGAGAAGATCCACGTGGACTTTGAATGTCCAGAGAGAAGTCCAGCAGAAGTTGTGTCTGCGATGGATCAGCCCCCTCCTCAGGTACAAGGACACATATTTACCATTTACATGTAATACATGTCAGTCACAGAATACACAGTTTTTTTCTTTCAATTTTACTCTCAATCTTCTTTTAAATATGTAGTTTATTGTATGAAAACTACGGAAGCCAAGAGCGGCCATTTTCCGCTAATAATTATTTCTCATGGTTTTCTCGTGATAACGATAGCAAAAAACGTCTTAACGTGATAACGAGATAATTATGTCGTTATCACGAGATAACAATGACCGTTTTGTCGAGATCACAACATAATTATTTTAAAAAAAAATTTATTTTTGATTGCTCATGATCCATCGAGAAATTAACCTATCTCGACAAAACGGTCATTGTTATCTCGTGATAACGACATAATTAACTCATTATCACGGGAAAACGTTTTTTGTTATGTCATGATAACGACATATTATGTTGTTATCACGACAAAACCATGCAAAATAATTAAAAGCGGAAAATGGCCGCTCTCGGCTTCCGTAGAAAACAGGCCTCTGAGTTCTTTGGTAGATCTTTGACTTGTATTCAACTCAACTTTACTTATAACGTTTTCTATAAACTGAAGATCAAAAAGGTCAAAAACTACAAAAATACTGCATGACCTCTGAAAGCAATGTACTGTTGACAGAAATGATACAAAGTTTGATTAAAAACATGTACTAAATTACAGAAGGAATTATGAACAGGAAAACAATCGTGTGAATGCTGAATCAGCGGTTTTGCAATGGATGTGTTGAAACAGGAACAGGGCAAGTGCAGAATAAATGTATAAAATGTTGATTAGGTTGAATTTAGTTTTAAATCAGAGAGTGGGTCAGATCCATACAGAGAGGAAACTGGTTCCAGAGCAGAGAGGCCTGAAAGAAAAAAAAATCTGCCTTCTCGTCTTGTTTTAGAGATTCTGTAAACATGAGGTAAACCTAAAAGCTGAGGTAAATAATGGGTTTCATTAAATAGGCTGTTAGGTGTTTATAACAAAAATATCTTTAATTCTGGACTTCATCATCAGTGAACAGAGCTAAAACTGAGATGTGACTGTCAGCCACGGCCACATTGCATTTCAGCTCAGTGTCTGTAGAGTCACAGGCTCATTGTGAGGCTGATTACTGTGGTGGTCTTACGCCGGTTACCTTCAGAAATTAATCAGTTGTGGATGAACAGTAAAGTCTCTAAAAATAGATACCAGAAGCAATCACTGTTTTAGAGCTTTCAAAATGAATGAATTCGTGACAATTTTCGGACGTTTATATGTTTCAGGTGCGAGCAGCAGATGGAGACCCGAGAGGTCTTTTGTGGGTGCTGGATGAGGAGATGGTGGGCCCAGCCTCCAGTGAAGGTGGCGCCGTGGAGAGGGTCTGCCAGTATTATACCAACGCTGGTAAACCTAAAAGGAACACGCAGATATCAGTGTTTCTCCTACCATTATACAGGCGGGGGGGGCACCCCGCCAATGAGACAGCCCGCCCCTCTAAGAATTTCACGTCATGTAGTCATTTTTATTTAAATAAGGCCAGATCAAGTCCAGAGCTATTTTTTTTTGCATCCCTCCATATCCACCTCTCACCAAACTTGGGGAAAAAAGACGGCGCAGAGCGATGCTGAGCCCTGTGTGTGGTCCTCACGAAGACAGGAAGACGTGTGTGTGATTAGACACGCAGCTCTGCTTTTATTCATGTAGCACCGATGCGACAGCTTTGTAAGCTACTTTTTCTTTCTTCAAAAGAAAATGTGACAGGTGAAGCCACAGCATGGTTACCTTATCAATAATTACTGCCTTTTTTTCTTTCTCTGTGGGTGGGGGGTCATCTTCACTCAGCTGCAGGTGAACACCTCCCGGGAACGCACATGTCTTCTGGACTATTTTCCACCGAGGATTATGTTGTATTTTATATTTATTATATTTCTAAAAGCACTTTGCAGCATTTCCCCCTGTGTGTTCACGTCACGAGCACAACAAAACCGCAACGGATCAGCTGACTGTGTTTAAAGCGAGGTGCAGCGAACATGTTCACCTGCAGCTCGGCTCCGACCTGCCTGGGACTGAAGAGTTCACACGTCAACCCCTACAGACGTTTAACGTGTATAATGAGCATAAAAATTCTGTAATTTGCGCAAAAAAAAATCAGTATTAATCACGACGCGGATGGAGAAGAGGTGCGCTGACCGCAGGGGTCTCTTAAAGACGTGTCTACATTTGACTTTTGTTTTTTCTAAAATCACAGAGTTCTCTGAGTCAGCTTCAGATGTTTATCAATCATAATACATTCTAAATTTAACCAGGTGTTTCAATGCCTTTAAATTACACAATCATTTTACTGGAGAAACTTGTCAGTTTGATTAAAAAACAGCAAAAATATTTTTTTTCTGTGCAGAGAACTTCCTCTGCTATAATTTATTTTAAATAAATATGTCAAAGTTCCTCAGTTGAAAACACTAAAATTATAGAAAAGATGTTTAAAAACTTCTTTCCTCAGAAAGTCTTCAGTCTTAAGAACACCAAACTGTAACTTTTAATAAGTACTCAGTGTACTCCTATTTAAATAAAAATGTTTGACCTGTAAACAGTGTAAAATCCTGCTTCTATTTAAAGCAGAACTCACAAATACACTCAAGGCGGATCGTTACCGGCATCAGGTAAAATATGTTACACCAGTTAATTTGAGAAATAAAAAAAAACAACCATTCAATATGAAGTTTTGTCGATTTTTAGCAAAGCTGATTTATTACAAAAACCACAAGCTAAGAAATAATAATAGTTATCTTGATACGGATCAAATAACCCAAAAACCCTTCAAAAATAAGGTTAGTTTAAATTTAATTCACTCAGTCCCTATCAATATAGAAACCCAAAAGGCTAAATGTCCAAACATTCCCGTTTCTTTTTCTGATGCGATTATTGTCCACAACAGAGTTCCATATCCTGGGAGAATTTCTCCGCTTTAATTCAAAGTCCCAATCCAAAACGAAAAATCCAACGCGTCAAAAACCTCCCCCTGACAAATGAGAAAGAATATGTGGTACCACCAAAAATCCCCAAAAAGAAAAGTAAAGTCCAGATCTCACCGGGAATGTCTTTCCTTTCCTTTCCCGGTGGCGTCTTCTCACACCGTTGGCGTCCTCCGGTAAATTGACATCCTCTTGCACCTGTCGGCGTTTCCTGGGTACCAGCTCCAATCCAGCTCCGACAGCGCACGATCCGTGGYGCTGGGGCGAACTTTGACTGCTGTTTTATCCTCTCCTTTTTATGATCGATCACTTATTCTAAACTTTCAGTCAATTCAAGTCTCCCGCTGCACGATCTGATGGTGAGCGTCTTCCTTTCTGATTGCGCCGCTGCGCGCTGCTGCACACGCCCCTTTTATAGACTAATCTCAGCCACACCTAAAAATCAGCATGACCTGCCCAAAAATCTGTTTTACAAGTGGAAATACGGAATAATTTTTACAATGAAATAACAGCAACTGTTATACAAATCAGATGATACATTTTCTCTTCAATGTATTTTATATAGGAAAAAAAACAAACAGTGGTTATGTTACAGCAGAAAGCTTATGGATGTTGTTTTTTTTTATCTCCATTTCAAAGAAGAGGATGAGGAGGAGAACGAGGAAGTAGTAGTCAGT